AGCCAAACTTTCCAGATTCGTCACGTTGACCTGCAGCCACGTGCCCTAAGCCACTTGCAGGGTGCAACAAGGCACAGCCCACCCCACCCAGCTCGCTGGGATCTGCACCCCTGCGCAGCCCCCAAGGATTTGGAGGCAAGGGTTTGCTCCTGGCACAGGAGTACCTGGGCACCAAGCCTCTCCGCCTCTGGCAACAGCTTCACGTTGTGCTCTGGGAAGGGAAGGAAAGACAGGAGACAGAGATCGAGGTGTGCATGCAATGGAAAGACGTGCTGAGTGAATCAGTGCTGGAGAAGGAGGGAAACTCTGAGCAAGAAAAGACGAAAGCCGCTAGAGGGGCCTCGCCACAGCCTGCCAAGAGGGGAGGAGAAGGAAGGCAGGGAGCTGCAGCGCCAGTAACACTTGCTGGGCTCAGAGAAGGGCAGTGCCCATGCACCCTGTGCCAGCCAGGGCATCTGCTGCTGCCAGCATGGCTGTGGGAGCTGTTACCACCACAGGCAGCTCTTGGGGCAAATCCAACAGGGAGAGGGTGGCACGAAGGAACCAGCACCCCATTACGCAATATCCCAGCAGGGGCACCGCCAGGTGAGTCAGCAATACCGGTTGTGCACATAGGTCTGGTTCAGCACAAGTTCCTCATAGCGCTGTCGGGCAAAGTTGCCCCCGAAGCCCAGGAAGGTGTTGACGTAGACACGGTACACGTGGCCAGTGTGCTGCACATCACAGCCCAGATTGAATTCTGCCAGCAGGCTCTTAGCAGCTTCCGCCTGGGGACGCAGAGAGGTCTATGATCGGCAACAACCCAGGGAAGGCAGGGGCTGCTCTCAGGGCTGGCTAGCCAGATACACACCTGCTGTGGGGAGGAGAAGGCTCCAGAGTCGGGCACTTCGTAGGCGATCTGCAGGGAGGCGCCCCCCATGTCTAGGATCCCAACCGTTCGTTTCCGAACCAGGGAATCTCCCTGGTCCCCCAGCGCTACGGTGACCACCGCATCCTCCTCTGCAACCCACAGCAGTGTGTCAGCAAGGGCCAGGGCCTGGGGTGGCATCTCCTCTCTTCTGCCATTACCACCTGTAGCAGCCTCATGGGGCTTCTCCACCCCTGCAAGCAGCACTTGGGGATCACTTGTGCGGCAGCGGGTCATGGCACTCAGGGCAGGCTGCCCCCCAGCTTCCTTCAAAGTATCCATGCCTGGAAGCCGCTATAGGAATACTACTACAAACCCTCCCTACCTGGTTCTTCCCCCAAAATGCTGCAGGTGCCCTCCTCATGCAGGGACTCATTCCTGCAACCAGAGCAGGTGCCCCACTGGGCCCCAGATCGAGGAGAGTTTTGCACATATGGCTGGGGTCAGGCATTGCCTGGCCAGAGGGGCAGATGCTGCCTGCTCCAGAGCCTGCTCGTAGCTCCAGCACGAGGGTGAGGTGCAAGCAGGACTCTGCTCAGACCTTCCCAGCCACTCTGCACTCTGCACTCTGCAATTAAGTCTCACCATCCTCGTGATCAAACCGGCCCAGGACAAAGTTGATGCCGATCCAAGCATAGACACCTGTACAAAACAGAAAGGGTCATTACGACAATATGCTAGAAGGAGCCAAGCAGTGCTCTGCAGCAGTTCCTACCTTCTTGTTTCCCTGAGATCACTTCTGCATGTGATTTGGAGAAGAGGAAATCAAACTCCAGGGGCACGTTTCTCACCAAGTCCTCCAGGATTGCAGCTTGCCGCCTGCGACGACGCAGGAGAGACAGATGCTAAGGGACCTTCACCAGCAACGGTCCTTTGCAGGAGTGCAAGAGGCTGCAGGAATCCTGCTGCAATGCACCCCACATCCAGCCCCACGAGCCCTGCTGCTTGCACCCAGCCTGCTTTGGAGATGTGAAACTCAATCTATTCATTTGAGATTTCAAAGTGTCTCCTCTCACCTCCTTCCTCGTGCTCAAGCCCTCTTTCTGCAGCCCTCGCTGCTTGCTCCTTTCTCAACCTTCCCCCAGGATTCCCAGTTCTCCCATGAGGCTCAAGACAAGGTAGCTGTCTTCCCCCTTCTTGCAGCCGAGGGATCCCAGCAGGTGCCTGGCTCCCCCCGACAAGGGCCGACCAGCTCACCTCTCAGGCAGCAGCCGCATGCCCGCGGTGCACAGGATGTAAAGCGGAGTTTCCTTATGCTTCTGAGCTGGGATGTGGGCTGCCGCGAACTGAAGCAGAGGGCGCAGGTAGGGCGTAGCTTGCTCCGGGGCTGCTGCCGCCACGGAGATGCCCGCCATGGCGATGGAGGCTTTGGCCCCCAGCCGTACCCGTTCCCACGTTATGGGGGCCGTGGGGCTGGGAGCGGAGAGGGGTGGCACCGACCTGGTTTAATTTTCTTGACCACAGGGCGGCTGCTCCGGTCCCTCATCTGCTTGATGTCTAGCAGGTCGTGGGGGTTCCCATTGTGCGGGGGCCAGAAGTAGACGAAGACTCGGGACCCACTGCTCCCGCAGTCGACGACCACCCCATAACTGAGAGCCGAATCCTCGG